GGAGGGCGAGTTCGAGGAGGAGGCCGAGGAGGAGGTGGCCTAGGCCCACCTCCATCACTTCATGCCCCCCCCACTAGGCTGCTGACCTCTGAGCCCCGAGAACTTCCGGCCAACCCCTCCCCACCCAGCACCCCACTTCCCCTCCAAGCCTGACTCACCTCTGACCCTATAATGTTGCACCTCTTCCTCTGGCCAACCTTTGACCCTGGAGCCCCACTTTATCTCTAACCCCCCTGACTCTTCCAACTTGGACACCCCCAGGAGCCCTGCTTCACCTCTGACCCCATAAGCCCCACCTATAACTCCATGAACCCTCCTTTACCCCTGACCCCCTGACCTCTCCACCTTTGACCTGCCCATGGGCCCCACCACTTCCCTAGACATAGAAGCCGTGGTTTATTTTGACCCCCACTCTGAGCCTGCCTTCACATCTGAATGTGCCTCACCTCACCTTTGACCCCACAAGCCCCACCCACCCTCTGACCCCACCTTCTCTCTGGACCCCATGAGCCCCCATTTCCTCCGGGAAATCACTCCCCTCGGCTCCTACCAACCTTGGCTTTCCCTGGGTGATGGAGGGCTGCCAGTGGGGAAGAGAGAAGCCCTGGAGCATGTGGGCAAGAGATGCTGTGCCCCGCCCTCCCCCCTCAATAAATTAATTGTCGTCCTGCTGTGTTTCTGCCTAGTGCATTTCCATCACACTGTGGGAGGCCGCATAAAGACTCCTCCCTGTGGCATGGAGGCGGGCACCAAAGGGACCTCAAATCTGGGGTGGGGAGTGGGGCAGAGATTTCAGAGTTAGACACACCAGGCTATGCCACTAACTCACCCTCTGGTGTTGAGTAAGCCGCATGCCCACTCTATGGACTCACCTCTAAAATGGGATCCTATGGTTTCCCCCGTTACCCCCACATGCCCCACCTCAGGGATGTTTGTGAGGCCTGGAGGGCACAGTTCCTGGCACTGGGTGGGCATTGAGTGATGGAGCCACTGCTCTTCTCTGTGGGGCATCTTGCAAGTGTGGACAGCTGGCTGGGGAGTCTCAAGGGAAGGATGCTGGAGAGATAGCAGGCTGGACTAGTGCCCGAGGGGCAGTCCTTCCAGCGTGACAATCACTCACAGGTGGAGCGCCTTGATGGTCTCCTACATGTCTTGTCTCATAACCTCACACCAACCCAAAGTGTATCAGCTTTTGCCGAGTAACATGACTCTCCAAAACTGAGGGGCTTAAAACAACAGCAGTTATTTTGCTCCCGCCTCTGCGTTTTGGGCAGGAGTTGGCAAGGCTCCTCACCTGTGCTCCCAGTGGCATCAGCTAGAGAACCCTCCTGGAACCTGAGGGCACTCCTTTCAAGGTGGCGCACTCACATGGTTGCCAAGCTGATGCAGTCCATTGGCTGGAGACTCAGTAGGGGCGGGTAAAAGGAGGGTGTCAGGACTTCTCCATGATCTGCTTGGGCTTCCTCACAGCATGGTGTCTGGGTTCTCCAAAGAGCAAGCATCCCCAGAGAGCAAGGTGGAAAGCACTGCATTTTTTCTGACTTAACCTTAAAGGTCACTTGGTGTCTTGAGGACTCCTAATGGAGGTGGTCACAAACACCTGTCCAGGTTCAAGAGGATGGGCTATGGATCCCACTTCTTGAGGGCCAAGTGGCACTAGAAGACCATGTGGGATGGAAGACATGGCTAAGGCCTCCTTTGGAAATTACAATTTGCCAAAGTGTCTCACCCATGGTCCCATGGCTATGAAGCGGTGACCTGGGATTCCAACTCTGACAGTTTAAGTCTGGAACTCTGATTGCATTTTATCAGCCAGGGTTCTGTGTAGGGAATTGTTCAAGGCACATTAAGCAGAAAGGGATTTGATACTAGGATTTAGGGGTTTACAGCATCATTGTAGAGGCTGCAGGCCATTGCTTCTTAAACTTCAGTGTATGAAACATTCACCAGGAAAGCTTTGCTGAAACACGACTTCCTGAGTTCCAGCCTAGAGTTTCTGATTTGGTAAATTGGACAGTGGGGAGGGGGAAGACTTCATGGGTTTTTTTTAAGTTTTATTCTTGGTTGGGTTTTTTTGTGGGGGGGGTAGTTAGGTTTATCTATTTATTTTAATAGAAGTACTGGGGATTGAACCCAGGACCCTGTGCGTGCTAAGCAAGCACTCTGCCACTGAGCTATACTCTCCCCAACTAAGACTGCATTTTTAACAAGCTCCCAAGTGATGTTGATGCTACTGCCTGTGAGAGCAGCTCTGGAATAGGCTGGACCACCACCCAGCAGCGGGGCTGCTTCCTCCGCCAGCGGAGAGTCAGGAGGCTGCTGCTGGAACTCCTGAGCTCAGAAATACCTCCCAACACCCACAAAGCTGCAGAGATAGGTCCACTAGAGCATGGAACAAAAATTAATTAAAATGAATATAAACTAAAGTTATTTTAAATAATTAAACACACACACAGAGTTCTGCCTCATTTCTACGTTCCAAATCTCTCCTGAGCATTTCTGTTGGTGGAACCTAATCTGCAGGCAGAACTGGAGCTGCAAAGAATTCTGGGAAATGCTTTTTCCCCTCCAGCTTCTGGTCCAGAGGAAGGCAACCCAGGAGGGAGAGAAACAGGGAGGGAGGGATGCTGAGAGCCAATCAACTATTTCTACCACACTGTTTGATGGACCACCAGACCTGGACAGGGCCCCAGCCCCCACCCTGGGTCCCACCGCAGCCAGGAGGGATGAGAAACGTGGGAAGGCAGCCTGGAATGCCCAGCCTGCAGCATGCCAGCAGGCCCAGCACAGCCCTGGGTGGCTGTGAGCCGGGCTGTCTTTATCATCTCAAACCCAACGTGGCCCCAAAAGAACTCCCTCTTCTGCCCCCCAAAATCCCCTTTCCCTTTTGCTCAAACCCCACATCTAGAAGTCAACATTGATTCCTTGTTTTCTAGACCCAAGACATTCTTGTTTTGCTGAGTCCTGTTGTCTCTGATGCCAAAAATGTATCCTGAGTGTGACCTCTCCTCTCCATTTGTCTGTACTCTGGTCTAAGCCACTATTGCCGCTCACCCAGACAGTCTCCCCATCACCTCCCTGGACTCCCTGCTGCCGCCCCTGCCCTCTGCAGTGTGCACTGTCCTCCCACAACACCCAGAGAGGAGCCTTTCCATGCACTTAAGAACCCTCCCTCACGTGACGCCTATCTTACTCAGACTGAAACCCAAGCTCTCACCTTGGTCTCCACTCATTGCTGACTACATCCTCGCCACCCTCCCAC